AAAAAAAAAAAAAAAGAATTCTATTTTCCGATTATCCACCAGAAAGTTCTGACCTCTGATCAGGAGGAGTGGCACAGAAGTTCTTACCTTCACCCAAGCGGCCCCAGCCTGCTGTTGTACAAATAAATCCAGGCTCAAATTGCTCCCCCAGCTCTGGAAGACACATGGGCCCCACGAACTGGCCTGAAGAAAAGGTCAAGGCAGGGCTTGTCTTATTCATGGAGAAAAGGATACCATAAGCCACTCGCCACTTGGCATCCAGGTGGTCCCCCAAAGACCTTGTAAGAGTTGTGATATCTCTGACTGACACCTCCAGGGGTCATTTGTCAGACAAAGAAAGACCCTTTCCTGACCGCACATAATCCTATATCCAGAAGTAAAAGCAAAAAGTTTCAGGTAGAGGAACTTCCAGCCCAAATCCCTGTCTCCAAGTGCATGACCCAGAACAGTTGGGCATATGCTACATAGCATATACTGCAGGGCATGTGCTGTGGGACAGGGGTTATGGAGAGTATGGGGTGGACAATTCAGGGTGAGCCTCAAATGTTTACCAAATTGGAAGGCTCCAGCCATCTTCAAAAGGGCGATATCATAGTCCATTGGTTTCTTGCTGGAGAAATGTGGGTGTACGATGACAGATTCAATGGTGAGGGTTTGCTCTTCTGGCTCTGTCTGGCTCAAGTCATGTTCTCCAGCAGTGACATTCACAGTTGACACAGTGTTTCTATGAAAAGGAAACAGTAATATGAATGAATTCCATTTTGCCTTTGAGTATAGTTGCAATGGTTGACAAACTGGCCTCTTCAAAATGATATGGATGGATATTGTGGTGTGTGAGTGCAATGAGCAGAGAAAGTGAGAATGATTCCCACACTATTAGAAAAAAGGCAGATTCCTAGTTCCAGTGGAGGACTAGCCAATAATATAAGTTTGACATTTTGCAATATTATTTGTAAATATCTAGACATGCACATATTAATATAATACATTGTAATTTGGGGCTCTAAAGCCATAGGGGACTTTATTCAGCTACCCTAGGAGGCTGACTTGGCCTAAATACCAGTGAGATCCTCTGGGAATGATTTGTGATTCCTAGTAAGTACGCTGCTTCAGTGCCAGTGATCTTATGCTTAGTGTATATTATGAAGGTCAGACAGCACTATAACTCTGATGTCCCAGAGAGCGTGTGAATTCAGGGCTTTGGGATGGATTACAACAATGGAAAGTTGAGATCTTATGTTTACCTTCTTTATGTTTATAATTTAGAGATCTTGCCTGACTGGGAAAGACCCCATCTTCCTGGGTCAATGTTATATGAAAGGAACTCAGTAGACATATTGAACTGGATTAAGAGCTTTGAGTTTACCATTCTTTGGGACCCTTCATTCCCAGAAGTGGTGCTTTTATACAAAATTGGATAGGGCATAATTTTCTCTGGGTGTGCCTCCCTGACTCTTGGCTACATTAGGTACCTAACTTAATACATAGCATCTTTCTGGCCTACCACCTGCCACATTGCAGTGAAATGATCAGTTGACTCTTCTTTTAGACTATCAACTCTTTAGGGGCAGGAATTATGTCTTAGTCATTTTGGTACCTTTCATACCCACTAGTGTCTGGCACCAAGTAAACATCCAGGGAATGTTTTCAGACTTGAAATGGAAGAGGGAAAATATGGGGACAGACTAGTAGTATATACCAAGAGTACTGACAATAGTAGGATATTTGAATCATATCGGAAAGTGGATAAAGAATAGATGTTGAGTTGAGGCTCAGAATGTCAGGATCAATAAGAAAGAAGATGTGGGAGCCTAATTTATATTTGACTGGCTTCCTTTTATTTATTTTTTATTCATTTCTTAAGATGCATAATAAACCAGATTAATTTTTTTCACTGAAATTTAAGAAAACTAGGAGAAAATTTTCAAAAATCCTTCTTTGTAATGCTCTTTTTTTGCACTTGGATGTTATTCTTTATTAACTTCTAGTAGTTTTAAGTGAATGAAGTATTTTACTTCTGCAAGGAATGTATGTTTTCTACCAAGTTGAATACCATTTGACAATGTCACCGAGCTCCATTTGTGTCAGGAAATTAGGATCGTCCTCCACTAAAGCAATACTCACTCATCACACAGGTCCATGTTTTAATAGAGTTATTGCTGCTAATTCCAAGGAAGAGGAAAGGGTGGTCTGATCTTCATCTACGGGCTAGGCCTTCCCTACCTGTATGAAACGCAGTGAGCAGCTGTGATCACCCATTGTGGAGAGATGATGGTTCCTCCACAGATATGCTTCTGTCTTTGTTTCAGAGACACCTAAATTGCAAAGACCTTAAATGGAAACGAGTTAATGCCCTGGGTTCCCCCAAAACATGGTGATGAAGCATATTCTGAAAAACAGACTCAGATATCTTATTTGTAAACATCAACAATCATGCACTGTAAAGGGTGAAACTCAAACATACAGCTCAGAAAGAAGAGTAGTGCTGGAACTAGAACATGCCGAGCCCTGGTCTGGATGAGAGGTTGTTAATTTGAGATGATTGCCTATGAAGGTTCTGGTAGAGTTGGCAATTAGTAGTGTTTGTATTTATTTATTTATTTTTTAACACTGTTGATGCCGACTTATTACTCTAACAATATGAACAATATCTGTAGATAAAGATAAAGGAGTATAAGATACAGAGGAGTCCAGCTGAAGGGGTTTGGAAGGAAGGCAAGGTAAGGGCTAGAAAGCCTTTCAACACATGCTCCAATTCCTCCAAGCCTCTTAGGGAAATAGTTTGGATCTACCATTTTCTCATCCTCTTAACTAACTATCAACACCTATAACTTCATCAAGCCTATTCTTTATTCTGTCTCTTTAACATATTATACTTTCTATTTTTGGTTTATCCTATTCATGATATTTTATTTGATTCTAAAATGAGTTTCTGTGTACAAGTAAATACTTTTAATAAATATAGTCACATTTTTGGAATTAGAACAAAGTCAATTCATTAGAATTGTTCCCTTTTTGACCAAGAATTATTTAATGAGCCATCAAAAAAAACAGTAATACAGAGAAGAGGTTAAGAATAGAACGAAGAGCACATAAGTAAAAGTCAATGAATCACTCTTACTATGATTTGAAAATATGAATTTCTGAAATGACCAGACAACCAATTGATCAAGTAACCAATCAATTAACTATTCAACCAAGTAATTAATCAATTAATCAAATGACAATGAGTCAGCTATTCAGTCAACCTACTGAACACAAACTCAATCAACCAGCAATTACCAAATAGCCATTGACCTAAAAGTTAATATGACTGACTCAAGAGCAGTAAAAATAAAGAAGATTGCTCTCCTTGAAAAGTTAAGAGGCAAGAATACAAAATGAATCCCAGGGTTAAGAAAATTGGGAAACTTTCAAAGATCATAAATGTAAACACCATGGGGTAGGGACAGAGGTACAAAGTCATTTCCATGGCATTGGAGGACCAGGAGATTAAATTGGGGCAGAATTCTTAGGACATTAACTAATGAGGAGACAGTACACTTGACTATTCCTTGAGGGGTTCTGTGGTGTGGGTGCAAGGTTTATACCTGAACACAAAGTGGATATGAACTCTCTGGTCTTCTTTAACTATAACAAGATATTTTTAAAATATACTTGTTGAATGAAAGAATATTTTCTCAATTGTAAACTCAAAAGACTTTTAGCTTCTTGAAGTGGAACTTCTATCTTAGAGGCTGATAGTTTGGGATGGTATTTATACTACATGGAACAAGTCAATAGTGTGTATAACTATTCTAAACATAGATTTTCTGGAATTCAACTGATGCACATCAGTTGAGGGACTTGAGTCTTTGTACACATGCATGAGATCTATTGTGAGGAGGAGGCAGAATGGAGCACTGATGAATAGCACGTGATTCTGGAAGATCCAATCCTGAGACTTCTCATAGCCCACCCACCAGAGAACGTTCCCTGAGACTCACCTGCCAGGGATAGGAACCCTTTTCCACTTGGCTTCCCCCAAGAATGCGACTGAAAATGTTAAAGTTATTCCAAGGCTGTACCTTAACAAGACTTTGCCCACAACTAGGAGCTGAGAAAAAGATAAACATCGAGTGATTAGATAGGCTCTAGGACTGAGGGATACAGAAAACTCTGTCTTATACATCTCTGTATTTCTAAGATTTTAGCACAATTCTTGGCATAAGTAAGCACTCAGAAAATTTGGATGGATGGACAAATGATTTTTCTTGAGAATGTATCCTTAAGAGCATTGCTATCTAGATGAATGTGTTAAAATATACAAAGCCCTTTCATACCACTTCTTGTTTAATCCCCATTCTACGACTGTAAATTAAGCATTATTATCCCCATGTTACAGATGAGAAAACTAAGAATCAAAGCAATGCACAGCTAAATAATGGCAGAGCATGGATGTAACACTAAGTTTTTGATTCTGAACCCAGTGCAGGCGTGACATTAGATCAAAAGCTTATTTTCTAACTGTTTTGGGTGAATGAGTCACAAAAACTTTAGACATGAAATTTACTATTTCCTGAACCCACTGAAGCAAAGACAGAAAACATGTTGATTGTCAAGGCTGGCAAAAATCTGACCATGTAGAAGCTGCTAAGAATTGTTTTCAGCTTAAGTTAATTAAGAAAAAAAAAGACCATTTACAAAATACTATGGTGAATATGCTTCATATTTCCCAGCAAGGTAATTTTCCAAAAGATAACAAATGCTGACAAATCTATGCTGATTTCCAGAATTTGCCCTATGAAAGAAGATGGGATTATGTAATGTGTTCAAATAAGTGAACAATCCCAGTTTTTTTTCACTTAGTTTCACTAAGTGACCTAAGCGTATTGCATAGAAATCATAATATTTCTACGTCATATGCTGATTGCAGGTGAGAAGTTCAAAATAATTACTTGAAAAGCAATTAGATCTCCAAAATGTATTTGCTTCTCCTATTTTCCCAAAGGAATGCAGAGTGGAGTTGCAATGTTCATTGCCAGCAAAAGTTATTCCTTCATAAAAGGTAGTTATGGATTTCATTTGGAACTTACCTTTGGGAACAGAAAGAGTCGCTGATTTCCCTTGTTCCAAACAGATCACTCCTAGTAGTAAAATCAGCCTGTTCTTGCTTACAGGCATTTTGAGACTCAGTTTTTCCCTGAAATTTTAGAGAGACAAAGATAACAAAAATAAGAAGCCTTGGGAGACTAGCAGTAAATCAATTCTAAAAAAGTTTATTCATTAACCAAGACTTGAAGCATTCACCCATGTCCATGTAATGTCTCTGAATGTGATTTCTTACAAAGATTTTTTGCAAGATGTGGAGAAGCAACCGCAGAGGCAGTCTTGATCGAGCAGTATTTCCGTATCCCATTACACCTACGTCAATTAGTTGCTTCCCCCAGGTGTATTTGGTTAGCAAAGTGGTTGGTATGTAAAGTTTTCATTTGAAAACATTACCTGTTCCTTTGTACAGGTTACCACTACTATAAGAGGATTGGCTATCAAAGTTGTTCTTGTTTGCAATGGTAGATTTCCCTGCCTGCTTGCAAATAACCCATCTGAATATTCTAAAATATTTTTCCTTTTCTTATTTTGCAAATGTAACTACATGATTATTAAAGCCAGTGTTGGAGAAAGAGAGGAGAGGAAAGATTATCAAGTAGCACACTCAGGTCACGCTACTAGACAGTGTTTAGGATGCTGTTCATTGGGGCACTTGTGAATCTGCATTTTCCCACCATTTTTTGTATTTATAGAAGGCAAACACTAAATGTCCTTTATGTCTATACCTGGTAGATGTCTAGGCACAGGAAAGTGGCTATGATTACCTGCGAATCTTCCTCTTTTCTGGCTGAGTTTTTGGCACACACAGTATGTGGGAAACACTTATAGATTTGTCAGTGCTATCTAGGACCACACAGGAATATGATTTTTTCTGTCTATTTTTATAAGTTACCTGCCAAAACCAGAAAATGTCAAACTAGAAGCCCCTAACTTCCTTTTGGCAACTTTTGCACTTGTATAAAATAAATCTACACAAATACAACACATACAGATAATAGAAAGGCAAAACAAAAACATTTTAAAGCCTAAAATTTGTGAGCAGCACATATTTAGGAAACAGTCAAGACCAAAGCTTTATGGAAGGAAAGAAGCTCAAACCTCCAATTGAGGCTTTATCCACAAATATCTTAATCCTGAAGCCAAAAATTTTTGGCTTTTGGTATGGGAATGATATCAGCCCCAAGAGGTCTACGCCATAATCAAAGTCTCAATATTTCTTTGACAACAAGTGCTCTTGAAGATTCTATTGTATTTTTTCAGTCACTTTTGAGAGCAACTTGATCAGGAATATGGCCCTTCTGACTCCAAATTCCCTGCATCCTGTCTAAAATTTGTGTGGCTGCTAACGTAAAAAATGCAGGAAGACCTGGCACAGGCCTGGGATGTGCCAGGGTGGACAAGCCTAAAGTAGGTATAGAGGTTTATTTAAAGCACAGAGCCTTTCGAGCTTTTGACCAATTATTGATTTCTAATATTAAAGGATAATGAAATTTGACTCTATACTCAAAAAATGATGAATTTACCCTCATCATGTGGGAGAGGGGCATTTTTATTGGTTGTCACACAAAAATATGATGAGATCTTCCTTGCTTTTTTATTTCAGGAGAAGATATTTGCTTCAAGGTTCTGTATCAAGATGTATCTCAACACAGTTATCAATACACATCAACACACTCATTCACCATGTAAAGTTGGTCATTAAGAATTTGGTACTCTTATATCTTGAGGGGGTAAACTGTGGTCCCCTTGCTGTTAAAATCTTTCATTTTCAGGGACAGTGTACCAGGTTCTGAGACACTAAGTTTCCATAAGGCCAGCTATCCACGCCTCCCAGAGTTCTAGAGACAGACTATAATAACTGCACACTGTAGTTACTTGCAGAAAGAAATCTGCTGAAGTATTGCTTGGCATGGTATTGTAAAATAAATTTTTCAGCTATGAGACTGTTAAATCTTTTAAAGGGAAAAATATCTATCTCTCTTGGAAATTTTGGACCAAAGTCTGCATGAATAGGGGTTTGGGGTTCAAATTATACTGCCTTCCTTGTCTGTAAATCTCAAAGTTGAGAAACCAGCATTAAAATCTGTCCTGAGTCAGGGATACAGAAGGAAGCTGGAAGAAACAAAGAATAAACCTATTCGGAAGGACATCATCAAGAGTATGTCAGCAGATATATCAGAGCGCAGACTTAGATGATCAAGAACTTCAGATAGGAGGATGATCTAATAAACATTACAAAATATTTGTTAATATTTTTGAAGAAATAAAAGAATAAAAAACTAAGAAAAGAAACATTTTTTTAAAAAAACCATACAGATTTGGGAAAAAAGAGACATTCCAGATAAAAAAATACAGTCTTTAAAAAATAGGTTAAACAGTATACATAGCTGATGAGAGAATTAATGAGTTGGAAGACAGATCTTAGAAATTGGCCAGGATGTTGGGGTGGGGGGAAGGAGAAAGAGAAACATGCATGGAATGAAAAAGAAGTTATGTGATGCGTAGAACAGAACGAGAAAGTGCAACCCCGATGTCTAATGGGAATGGCAGAAGGAGATTACAGTAGAAAGAATAGAGGACAGGCAATATTATGAAACAAAGTGACTAAATTAAAAGCCATGTAAAAACTGAGAGAATAGTATAAAGGACATCCATGGGCCCATCACTCTGCCTCAACAATTACTCACACTTGGCAGGTTTTATTTCTTTTATAACATCCTAACCTCTCCACAGTCTCGTTTTGAAACAAATCTCAGGTATAGTATTATTTCATCTATAAATAATTCAGTGCATCTCTCTTAAAAATAAGGATTCATAAAAAACATAGCCACAATACCATTATTAAATAAAAAATGGATATTTTTAAAATATCGAATATTCAGTGTTTGAATTCTCCAATTGTCTTACAATTTTTTTACACTTGGCTTGAGTTAAAAATTTAAACAAGGTGTACTTGTTTCATGTAACTGTTATATCTTACGTCTTTTTAAAGCCATGGCTTCCTTCTCTCTTTTTTGTCTGTGCAAGTATTTTTGTTGAAAGAATTGGTTATTTAGTCCTTTAGAATTTTCTACATTCTGTATTTTGCTGATTGCAGAGCTGTGTCTTTAAGGTGTTTCTGTAACCCCTGTGTGACATGTAAACTGAGAGGTGGATCTAAATAGAGTCTTGATCAGATTCAGGTTAGATTTTTGGCAAGAAATTTTATAGTAGGGTTATGCACTTCCTATTGCATCACACCATAGGCCCTTAAAGTCTGGTTGTCCTTTCTGTGGTTTTAAAATTAGTCAGTAGGTTCAGCTGTCATTAGCCTGCTCATCTGGCATAAAGTCACTTTTTTCACTTAGTTTTAAAGCGTCCTTGATCATTGCTTAGATCCATTATTTCAGTAGCATTTACACAGTGATGATATTCTCATTCATCAACAGGATCTATTTTATAAAAATGTTCCTTTCATCAGTTATTTAAGTACCCCCACATTATATTTGATATAGGTAAGTTAAGATAAATGCTCAATTCTTTTTCTTTATTAGTCATTCTGAAGATTAATTAGTTTGCCAGCATCCTCCAAAGATGATTAATTTTTCCAGTATCATTATGAAGATATGATGTCACATATCATAGTCTAAACAGTCCCCCAAAGGTGTCATTTTACTAGATAATCAAGAATTACCCCATCTGCTCTTATCCATATTTTACAAATATGGAGGGTAAGAAACAAATAGCTTCATGGACTTGCCCAAGGCTACACAATTAGTTTGGAGTCTTGACTTCAATTAATGTTGTTTTGATTACTGATCCATCCATACCTTTTCTGTCACGCTATTATGCCAACTAAGGCCTTGTCAGTTTCCCTGTGTGCCTTTTGTTTTTCCCTGGATTTGGTTCATTTTTGCCTTTCTTTCTTTCTCTTTTTTTTTGGCTCCCACAAATCAGTAGCTTCCAAACTGGCACAAAAGAAAGTAAGATGCATTTGTACACTTTTTTCCCTCAACTAGCCTCCTTCCCCATTTTATGCATGTAAGAGTTTTTTCAAAAAAAATTGACCTAAACTGCTCTTTTCTTTTTTTCTGGCTTTCTCACTAACCTACGTCTCCTGCTCACCCCTCCCTTCATTGTACCACAAAAATTTCGTCTTCGTACAAACCAGTATCTTGGAGATAGTCTGCAGAGGCTGAAGCATAACACATAAAGTCTTCACCTAGAATTTTGGGGTTAATTATGTCTCTGCCAAACACACCCCTGTCCAATTTCCTCTCCCCTGTCTTCTTTATGCCTGTATGTGAAAGCTTTTGCATTTGCAGAGTACTCACTCAGGCACATCCTGACACTATTTCCCTGTCATTCCCTCACATTCCTGGCCAGCTCACTTTCGCCCAAGTTTATTTCTTCCCTATCCATCCCATGGGCTTAGTATTAATGGGAAAACACTTCCCACTCTTCCTATTCCCGATATTCCTGAAATTCCAGGGCATTACTAAAGCTCTTTTCTTCCTGGAATCCTCCCATTTCTATTCTAAAACTCATAAGGTGAGAAGTGGGGAAGTACTCCTTCCTTTCCACACTTTCCCTCTGTTACATCGCTCATTTGCAAATCATCTCTTCTAAGATCTGTTTTTTTAAAAAAATACCCTCATTGTTTTTGATTACCCTTGAGACATTCTCAGATTGTCCTTAATTATTTTACAGTTCAACTCACAATCTCCACCTTTCATTAGCCTTTAATTTTCAAGTGTGTCATCTCTTAGTTGCAACAGGGAATAAGCAAGGTGTTTATAAAGGAGGATTCTGTGACCTCTGCCTAAGGAACGGATTAAGTTGGCAGACTGAGAACATATTATAGCCTCGTGCTTCTGCTCCAAATTCATGATAGGAAAGATACACTCAATAAATGAGCCATATCATTGCTGGAAAACCAAAAAGAGGAAAGGTTCTTTTAGTAGCCTCAAATTATGAGTTTTCCTAGAAAGATAAAAAGCAAACGGAATCTAATTAAGGAAAGAATCAAAGCCTAACATGCCTGTTAGGAGAAAACTGCTGAAATAGTTCTGGAGTGATGGAACTTTGAAGGC